TCTCTCTCTCTCTCTCTCTCTCTCTCTCTCTCTCTCTCTCTCTCTCTCTCTCTCTCTCTCTCTCTACCTACCTACCTACCTACCTACCTACCTATATCTCTCTCTTTCTCTCTACGGGTCCGTGTCTCTAATCCATGCTCGATCGAGCGATGTATATGGAGCCAAAGGATCCGCAAAGTGATGAAAAGAACTTGAATGGACAATGCAGCATCAATGAAGCATCAACAAGCAATGCACATCCAGATACATACAAAGATAGCACAATGTAGCGCAGCGGAAGACTCAAAGATATGACCTGACCTGTCAGATACTGACGCGACTCAACCCATCACACACCACACATGCGAGAGAGGAGGGAGCGCATGGATAGAGGAAAGTTCCCTCTTTGACACGCACATGGGGAGATACCATGGATGAGATGAGGGAGAAGACCAACATCGCGAGAGCGAAGTGCCGAATAGTCTCCCTGCCGAATGTCCAATCAATATCTGCCGCAAAAATGTCGAATGATCAGATCCTGGGCCTCATAGCCCGACATAAGCTCTGCCCGTAATCTCTCTCTCTCTCTCTCTCTCTCTCTCTCTCTCTGAGACTCTCTGAAAGAAGGAGGAGGAGGAGGAGGAAGAAGAGATGGAGGGCGAGAACAGGAAAAGAAGAAGATGTCATCCTCCTCGTTTTCTCACCTGCAGCCTGTAGATGACTGCCTCCATGTACTAAGGAGCCGGCGTATCCCTCTGTGCCGCTGGTCGCCGGCAAAAGGTCCAGCTATGGCGCCCAGGTAAGTCCTCCGCCGCTGCGGGTATGGCCACCGGCCCCACCGCCTCTCTCCCTGCCTACACCTGTACCTCTAGGCTCCAGCGCAGCGCTGTATCACGCTGCTCGACCACTGTGTCGCCCAAGAAGTGAGCTACTCGTGTGTTCGCACTGGACCGGCCCAGCTATCTATAGCATTGGGCCTGGCTGGTGTGCTCCTGGTCCTGGCCTGAAGCGGCCTGCCTGGGTCCCTACCGGAGGACCAGGCCCTCCCTGCTGATGCAGCAGAGAGTGTCCGCTACCGGACGAAACTGAACCTGCCCCAAAAGGGCCTGGCCACGAATGGAGAAGGCCCAAAACGAGGTCTTCGTCCGAACAGACCGTAAGTCTGTTCGGACACACTGCAAGCCCGAAACGACGCCTGAAACAGACAAAAATAGAACAGCAAAATAAATAGATAAATAAATGAATGCTGCCTCAAATTGAACCCTGCGGCCTAAGGGATGACCGTGGGCCTCCAGGGGGCATGCCTGGAATGGTGTGCGGCCTGGGGGGCCCCAGCAACCGTCGGGCCCCCGAAACGGGGCACGTGTGCAGGCTCAGCATGTAACCGTCTCTCTCTACCTGTAGATAGGTAGAGAGAGAGAGGGTTG